GTGTAGTAAAAGAAGGTAACCCATCCATTATTTCCGATATGTTTGTGCTATTATTTGATTCTACAACAGTTACAATAAATAACAACAAACTGAGATGCATAACCAGTAGAATTGTTCAATGGTGCTTCTTGGCTGGTTGCAGGGCACTGGCCTTCCTTCAATGCCTCCTGACTGTTTACCCATACATCATTCTCCTTTGTGGATTCTGGTTATATTCACTGTGGTTATGATATGATACTACAGAATGAAAATATAACAAAAACAAAAATGTGATTGGATAGTATCTATTAAAATATAAGAGAGATTGTCTGTTTCCATGGCGATGTAAGACAGGCATAATCAACATGCACCTACTACATTTAGATACACTATAAGCAAGGAAACATGACAGTAAATTCATATTTTGCAGCACTATGAAAAGTATTCTCAAACCTCGTGCTTCAATTTCTCGAATACACATATCCACCACCATTGGCCGCTGGGTATTGTGTGCTTTTACAAGAGTTGTCAAGTCACAACTGTACACCTTCTTGATTCTCTTGAGGTCAGGCTGACAGTCATTGGGTACAAATTTTGAACACTGCTTATGTACATTCAGTCCACAGTCTGGAACAAAAACCAACAGGAGTATAATTATGCAGTGCTCTTGTTATATGGCTCAGAAATATAATTAGTGCAATGTCAATCACAAATGTATAGTTTTTCTAAATGTTTGTTCAAGTATAACATCACTGTAACAGATCACACCCCAGCAAATTACAATTTTAGTACTGGCCTGCTTAAGGCAAACTAACTCTGTGCAAGTCACTTGAAATTCTTAAATGAATGGTGTATGCCTGGAGGAAGCAATAGTAAGGAAAGGTTTCCATTTATAAAAAAAAGACAAATCAAAAGTCAAGTAGCAATAACTTTTTAGAAAATTACAGAATAGGCAAGAGGAGGAAAAGGCAATAAACACAATTCTTTTCACTTATTTTAAATTGTTTAAAGAAATTACTTCTGTAGTTTTGGATTAGTATTAAGTTAAAAGCTATCAACATACATGTAGTCCTTTTTTACAGTATTTTTGGCAATTGTTAGAACATGGTTAGCCATTATAAACTTGTTTACTTCAATTTAAAATATTCTGTTCAAATTAAAGACAACTGTAACTGGGTTGTAACGTATCGTCAGAGTTGCGACTTACACATTCATTTATATGGTGTTATTGTTTCTGTATTAGAAAAGATGGTTTCAAATAAAGGCAAAAGTCTTACACATGTTCTTAATGCCTCCTTCATGAGTCAATGGCAAAAAAAATAATTATTTCAAAATTGACAAAGGGAGTAGAAAGTGAAAGAATTTTGTCATTCACATTGTTTTGTTTCTAACCAATGATCTCTGACATGTTACTGGAAAATTGTGGTATGCTTACATTTTTTGGCTCATATAAAGAACAACTGTGGGCAATCCTCAAATCTTCAAGTTTCACTGGTTTATACAATTTAAAAAAAAACTTTCATTTCAGGTAAGTTTCACTTGGCAAGGAAAGCAGTTCTGTGGGTTGCTTGATACAACACTGCTTACAAAAGATATAACCAGCATTGAATGAAAACAATGAAAAGCAATACACAAATGATTGATTATAGAATCCCCATATGTACAAGCTATCCTCTTAAACAACTTTTAAAATTGGCAGATGAAGTGTAATGTGGGAAGTGTGATGTTATCCATTTTGCTGAGAGGAACATAAAGGTAACATATTATCTAAATGGAAAGAAACTTCACAGTGTTTTGGTGCACTGTTCTGGGTGTCCTTGTGCATGAATCCCAGAAAACTAGTGTAGGTAAAGCAGGTAATAAGGTAGGCAAATGGAACTCTGGCATTTATTATTAAAGGAATAGATTATAAAAGTAGGGAAGTGTTACTACAACTGTATAAAGCATTAGTAGAGTTCACATCTGGAGTATTGGGTACAATTTTGGTCCCCTTAAGGAGGGATGGTAGTTGCATTGGAGGCAGTTCTGAGGAAGTTTACTAGATTGATTCCAGGCATGAGAGCTTTTGTCTTATGAAGAGTGAGCGAGCAGTTTAGGCCTGTACTCTCTGGAGTTTAGAAGAATGAGAAGAAGTTTAATTTAGTTATACAAAGTGCTAAAGGGATTGACAAGTAGACGTCGAAAGGATGTTTCCTCACATGGGGCAATCTAGAATGAGAGGGCATAGCTTTAGGATAATGAGTAGTAGATTTAAAACAGAGATGAGGAAAAATTGCTTCTCTCAAAGGGCTGTGAATCTGTTGAATTCACTACCTCAGAATGTGGTGGATGCTGGGACAATGAGTAAATTTTAAGGAGGAGATAGACAAATTTTCATTATTAGCGTGTTGAAAAATTATGGACAGCGGGCAGGAAAGTGGAGTTGAGGCCAAGATGAGATCAGCCATAATTGTATCAAGGGGATGAACTGCAGGTAGTTCTCCTATAGTGCGATAGTTGCGTTCTTGCTTGACCTCATGCTATAGAAAATTGCCATAGAAAACTGCGTTATAGGGAAATTGCTACAGACAACCACTATATCTGTACAGCAGAAAGTTTGTGTTATCCAAACAACATCCACTATACATCAATCGCGTTACAGCCAATTTGCATTGATGAAACACGTGTTATAGCAGGACTACCTGTACCTACTTTTGCTCCTGGTTCTTATGTACCTAAAGGAAAGGCATATTGTGACTGGAGCAGGTGCTGAAATTATGTAGGAAGAGATTCAAATCTGGGAAACTTTGAAAAGTGTTGCATTACAAGAGAAAATGATTCCTAGGTTTTCAGATATTACATGGACACCTTGATGAAGGAGGTGGACAAAGGAAAGATGTTTTTAATTTGCAAGGGGATCCTCCATGCTCAAAGGCCAATGTAAAAGAATAGCCATGGTCAATACCAACAGTCATGCTCTAAGAACATGGATGAAGGAAGCACTGCAAAAAGTTCAATGATTCCTTTTACAAGGAAAGGTAAAATATCATTGGAGGCAGTTCAGAGAAGGTTCACTAGGATGATTCCACTATAAAGGGATTGTCTTATGATCAAATGTTAAACAGGCTGGGAATCTATTCATTGGAAATTAGAAGAATGAGAGGTGATCTACTTAAACATATAGGATTCTTAAAGGGCTCGACAGAGTAAATGCTGACAGGATGTTTCCCTTCATGGGAGAGTCTAGGACCAGACAGCATAGTGTCAGGATAAAGGGGCATCAGGTTGAGTGTCTTTGGAACTTATTGCCACAGTGAGCTGTGGGGCAGATTTCTTACGTATGGGTAGATTTCTGATCAGTAATGGCATCAAGGGTTATGGGGAAAAGACAGGAAAGTGAACTTGAGGAGTGTTGGATCAGCATGACCCTATTAAATGGTGGAGCAGGTTCAAGGCGCCAAATGGCCTAATCCTGTTCCTATTTCTTATGATCACAAGATCAATTAATACATCTTGAAATGCCAAATTCTATCAACTGCATCACTACCCTCAAACTGCTCACTTCACCACACCCTCCTTTACTCATCAGCAACAATCTCTATCAATTAGGAATCATACATAGGAATCATTATACATATGCACTATGGTATCTCACACACTGAACCCCTACTGACAACATTGCTGTAATTGGCACACGCAGTTTGTATGCGCTGTCAGCTGCTCAGCTGTTACAGCCACATCATCTAAACATACCGAACAATACTCACTGACATATCTCTCTCCATTTTGCAGACTATGGTGGCTCATAATCACAGGCAACAGGAGGTAATTGGACAGGAGCATGAGTGCCTACATACTGTTAACTGAAGGAGATTGTGGTGATTGTTAATGAGGCAGACACTGTTGAGACCATGATTAGTAATGGGGCTGTAACTAATCAAAGATAATTGTATGCTCATACATAATCTGCACTCTCTCTCTTACCCCTCAAATCACAATCTCTTCCAACTTGTAAGTTGTGGCTGACCTTAGCATGCAACTTGTTCCTTATAACACCACCTCTGCCAACCCTCCCCAACCCACCAAATCATAACCTTACTTTTAGTCTTTCTCCTTACAGATCAAGCAATGGAGGAAGAGCAAGAAGACAGTGATTAAGATGATATATCATCTCACAATTTCACAGTCATGGTCACCAGCTTCCAGAAGAACATGCACCAAAGTTTAAGCACGTAAAGAAAAGCTCAGACTGCTGACATCATAGCTGTGGACAATATTGGGCCAGTGGACTCACGCAGTATCACAGCAGAGAAGCAATCTGTCCTCCAACAGAATATTAGGATTTCCAAGATAGAGGAAGTGCAGCATGATTCTGCTATCTGCTGCCAGAAAGACAGCAATGCACTTCTACCCATGTTATTCTATGAACAGCTCATGGTATTGCCTAGCAGAATTACTGCCTCCCATATTGTGATGCTGCAGTTTGCAATTGAGCATTCTATAATCATTCTTGATCAAGGTGATCCTCCAAGGTCAGCTGTTGCCCAGTCACCATCCTTTGGTTTGTCATGGTGTCTCAAGTACACATAATACAGATTGCTGCTAGAATACTGGGCCTGCAAGGTGTGTTGCCTAAAGCTACATGCCAGCTGAATCGAGATCGAGTAGGATCTCTTTTAGTCCCAATGTAGAGCTGACATACAGAAAATGAAAAGTCAGGCACAGTCAACTATACCCCATATCATGGAGTTATGTGCTTACTCCACCTGCTTCTCTTTGCATGCAACAATGAAATACAGTTAGCTTTCTTTGAGCAGCAAACCTCTGATACAACAGTGGAAGGAAATCTACAAAATGTCATCAAATATCTCCAGCTGCAACCTGAATAGATTTAAAGATGTGAAAATCCATGCCATGCCACATTAATATGATCCTTGCCCTGCTCTGAGGTGGCAGTTGTGAGCTCAGCAAATCATGGATATCATTGAGGACATCCTTGGTGGAGCACACAAATCTTATGCATTATCTCTCAATGAGATTCAGGTTTAAAAAATTGCCCTTTGAAAGCCTGGAAAGATACTGCCTCATGCTGAGAGCCCACCTGCAGCAGCTTGTCATATGTTGTGTGGCCTTTGTGCATTCTCACTGTCATGTTGTATGCTCAGGAAAAATACCCTGTCAGTGCATCCAATGGTTTGTGCAGATGCCTCGAAGTCAGTAAAAAAAAAAATTTCTTCACCATCTGCCACCCCAAACCCTATTTATTCCTACAACGTGAAACACTGTAGAAAACACTTGTAGAAGCAAAATAAAAGTCAATAGAAATCAATGATTTATGTGACAGTTGCAGCTAGAGTACTGGAATCAAGAATTTCATTGCTGGTGTCAAGTCAGCATTGTGTACTGACTGATGTCATGAACTGTGTTCTCGGTATATTTCCAGAAGAAATTTCCTGTTCAATGCTAACACCCTCATAACACAGTGTCTGATGTATAACCAGCATCACAAGTGTGTGTAAGCAACCCAGATGCCATTTTGAAGTTGTAGGGAACTCTCAGTATCCAAGTAACATGAACAAACATTTACAATTTCTCATCCCATGTGTTTTTAGTAAAAACTTGCATTTGAATAACACCCTTAACGTACT